CACACACACACACACACACACACACACACACACACACACAGACATTCTATCTGTCTGTCTGTCTGTCTTATCCATCTATCTTCTGGTTGAAAGACGACCGCACTCCCTCGCCGCCACAGTTGCGTACTTCTGTACTGCGACTGTATATTAAATCTACTGTTATGTGTTCTCCTCTGCTTGCAGGTACGGGACAGCAGAACTGTGTCTGCATCATGTCGTCCTTGTTGCTCAGCTGGTGGGTAGAGATCATGATTATACACAGTCCAGTGGAGAGAATCCATGTTGTGGATTCATTGTTCTTAAAGATTGAGCAGAGAACCAGACCTGATTCGTAAAGTTCATCTGTAGACTTCATATATTTAGTTTCCAGGATCTCATCCAATGTCTGAAATCTTCACTCGGTCACGGATGATTCCCCATGTCTGTGACCTCTTCCTGAGCGCTTTCTAAAATAACACTAAATCCCCTTAATCTCTCCCTGTGGGGTTATGAGTTAGTAGGGGGTCCCGCATGTTTACTCTGGCCCCCCAACAGAGGTGACAATTGGTGTTGTTGGATCTCAGGGACAACTTACATACTTCTTACGTCATCAGATTAAGCTGCATCCAACTCATTTTGATGCTCCTTGCTGATTGGACCCCTCCTGATCCTCACACTGATCCTCCCCCCTCTTCTCTTCTCCCTCTCCTCCCCCAGGTGAAAGCTTGCACCACTGAGTGTTACCAGTCGCTCCACCTGGGCCTGCTGCTCAAACGCATGGTTTTCCTCATGACGCCCGAACACCAGGTCAGAGACACTGGAGAAATGAATAGTTTGATAATCTCAGGAGTTACTTGAGGGTGTCAATTCACATCTCATTTTTCACAGTTTTGTATTAAACACTAACTCACATACTTACTATAATCACATTTGACTATTTGATATATGTGAACACTGAAAGGCCAAACAAGATCAAAGATGATACTGTGATTCAAGTATTCTAGCCTTTAAAAAAAAAACAATTGTACAGTACTGACTGAATATCCTCCTCAGTACGGTCAAAGGCAATGGCTATCTTTTTACTACAAATTGAGATGACACCATTCCTACTAATATTTCTACTATTTTAAGTTTTGACGATGGAGAGTGGCAACACATAAGTCTCTCATAACAGTTGAGATCTGGTGAATGCAAGGGCTATAGTACATTATTGGGATTCTGTTAATGCATATAATCACCGTCATGTGTACATTTCACAACTCCAATACTCAGGTTTACTTCTTAAATCTGTCCAACAATCCTACTTTCTTGTTTTGGATGACGGTTTCTGATTGTGTCCATTTAACCCGTAAATGAATAATAACATATGTTTTGTATATGTAAGATCATTACCTTCATATCAGGTGATTTCTTTCCCCCCATCATCTCAAAGTGTTTTGTTTTTCCAGATGGAGCTGTTAGCTCGTTTCCCGCCGTCTGAGGTAGAAAACCTTTCAGTGTGGAGACATGTCCTCCTCAGAGCTCTTTCCCAAGATGCTCGTCACCGCGTAGAGACCGACATCATCAGCCTCGCTCAAAAAGCTCTGACTGACTGGCAGAATGGAGGCTACAAACTAGGACAAGTGGACAAAATGGTGAGGACGACCCTAGATACGGCTCTGATTACGTCTGTTTGTTTTAACCAACCCTTAGCATGAATTAGAAGTAGCCTAATATCGGCTGTGCCTTCAAATGTAGAGGCAGTAGTTCTGCTGAAACGCAACAAGTTATTTTAGATTAGATTTTTTCCGGCTGTGTATTTTCAAATTCCAGCGCACTCGAGCTGGTTTCTCCATTTCTTACCTACCCCACCTGAGAAGAGATAATGGTTAATGGTCTATATCTTTTTTTAAGTGAAATCTAGTGACTGAAATGTAGTGCGTGAAAAGAGGCAGCACACATATCGAGGGCGAGAAATGAAACATCTCGGGGCTTATTAAAGCGTGAAACAACGTTTTCTCACTTGAAGGAAAGGCCACCTTCTCGCCAGTTTAACGTTACATGGACGTTTTAATAAGGTTTTAAGTCTTGACAGCATAATATAAACGTATTGCACTGAATTATAACTTGTTTGTTTTGTCTTATTTTGTATTTCTTTTATGATTAATTTTGGATTGTTATAAGCTGTTAGACTCAGATGTAGGATTAAGCCTTCAGTGTCTACGGTCAGGCAAACAAAGTTCATATGAAAAGTTGTCTGATTATTTTTTGGCCAGAATGATTACATCCAGCTGTGAAAACAATGCTAGGAAGCAGGGTGGGGATAGTTACAGTCCCTCCTGTGTGCAGAACACGGTGCTGCGGCCCCTCCTGGCAGTGGTCCGGGTGCAGACCTCTCCTGAGGACCAGTGTGTGCTGTCTGCTCTGAGGGTCCTCACACAGCTGTGGTTACGAATGAGTCCAGAGCAGGTGAGATCCTAAGAGTGTAACCAAGAATATCCCAATCAGGCTTTTTGTTGCCCCCCAATCCAAGTAGTTTAATATTGAGTATCTGATGAGGCCAAGTCCTGATCCTTCTATCTTTCAAGAACATACAGCTGCACAGCAAACAAGGACATTTATTAAAAGGGCTAACCCTAACAACAAATAACAAGCTGTTCCTTAAGGTATTTTCTTTTTAAGTCATAAATAAAGGATCAGATCAGATTAACATAGCGATACTGAACAGTTAAAAAATGCTTTGATGTCGTACGATGCTGATCTTTGAGATGACATACCGTTACCCTGCTCCAGGTGCAGAGCCAGCCCGCGCTCCACTGCACGCTGCAGCTGCTGCTCTCCATATCAGCCGTTCTAGTGAAAAACATCGAACCTCAAGTCATCTGTCAGGTATGACGTTAGCTTCAGAGTTCACATTTAATAGATCAGGACTGGAGGGAGCTTCTGTTGACTGTAACTGTGTGTGTGTATGTGTGTGTGTCCAGGCTCTGCTGTGTGTGGACGCTGTGGTATCTCAGCCGTGTGCCGATCAGCTGACGCTCGCTGCTCTAGAGTTCCTCTCTTCTCTGGGGAAGATCTTCGTCCCCTCAGACAGCCAGGTGATCACACCCCTCTGCTGCACAGTGTCTCACCTTCTGGTTCTTTGCACTCCTCACCAGATGCTGTCAGACATTTATTCTACCGCTGTTCTCCTTCGAAGTTGCTCCCAACATGTAGGCCAACAGATAGGTCAAATATAAATACAAATTAGTTTTGAAGAAGATAGTAAAAATGTGGATGATATTTTGTCTGTTCTTTGCAAATTAACAGTATGCTAATCATGTTCTGTATTTAGTTCCTTTTCTCTCTCTTATATTCATGAAGTTACTGATATTTCAGCGTGGCCACGTATGCAGTTTAAAACTTCACTTTGGCTCATTTCACATTTCACATTCAAAAAGTCATGAAAATAGTATTTTTAAAATTGTAAATAAAGTCAAGACATTCTCATAGTATGCCACTGCACATTTCAAAACATTCTCCATTCTGTCTGTAATAAAAAACATTTACATTTAAAAAAGGAATAATTAGTCAAAACTGTGGATATGAAATGAGAACATTTTAATATAATCCATCATTTCTCTTTCAAACCCACTTTGTGTCCCACAGAGTCAGATCCTGCCGAGGCTGAGCGGCCTGTTTGGAGCCATGTTGTCCGACAGGTCCTGGCCGCTGCACCAGCACGCTCTGGAGGCCTTCTCTCACTTTGCAGAGGTACGGCAGGGATGTAAAAGCTGTTTCAGAAGTTATCCTGTACTGCCCTCGACTGTGTTGTAAACTTAACGTGTCATCTTGCTCTTTAAGATTACAAACCATGAAGAGGTCATTTCCCAGAGTCTGTGTGTTGAAGAAACCAAGGCGAAGGTGGTGAACTATCTAAGCAAGGTAAGGAGATTCTAATAAACTATTTTCATCAGATTCACTTCAACAGATCGACATTAACGAGTCAATGTGTCGTTGCAGACTGTGAACGCTCGGGAACATGTGGAGTCACGGCTGCAGAGGATCAAACTGGAGAAGGCCGTTATTGAGAAACACAACGAGAGGCTGGAGAGCGACAAAGAAAATGCTTCAGACAGACTCACTGCTGAAACACTGGCGGCTGAAGCTGGAGCAGACTCAGAGGTGAGTGCTGTCACGAAGTTTAATTGCAACTTCATTCAATGGTTTCCTGAATTTTCCTCACCATGCAGTTTTGTTTCAGCTTTAGACTCTCCAGGTGACTCTGAATGGCAGCTGGTCAGTACAACACTACCTCCTAGTGGACAAGTTAACACATGTTCACTAGGAGGTAGTAGTATAATATGAACCAGGCTTATTTTATTTTTATTTGATAGTTTCCAGGAAACACTGAAAGAGGCATAGGAGAAGGATATGCGAGTTAAAGGTAGGGTAGGTAATAATGGAGAAACCAGCTCGAGTGCGCTCGAATTTGAAAGTACACAACCGGAGAAAATCTGCCCCCTCCTCCAACACACACAAATGCGCACATGACAAGTTTGTGCACAGATGGAAGGCTGACAGGCAGGTAGGCCATCCACTTACTTTAGCCGGGCCGGCTCAGATGATTGGTCGTGCTTTTTACAGCGCCACGGCTTCCACAGATGATATTTTTTTATGTATTTATTGTCAAAGCATTTCATATATTCATTGCTATCGGGACGTTAAGAGCATTCCATGGAATATAACAAGTGTTTCTGAAGTGAATTACCTACCCCACCTTTAAGTGTTTGGTTAGTTTTGCAAATTGTAATCAGCATTTATATATATTTTAAATGAATGTATCAATCTGTGTGATATCTAACTTAATACGATTATTTAGACTTACATTGTGATATGCGTTAAAACACTAGAGGGGATTACATTTAATCCACATTTTCATTATGCATTTTTTTCAAGAGTATCTGTTGCAAATAAAGGTTTTTTTATTAGGTTTGTAGGATGATACACTAAACCAACAATGCTTGATATAGTCCTCGTAGCTCAGTACAAACGTTCCTTAGCAGTAACAAGTAAAATAGTATTTTTATTTAGCAAAATACTTCTGTCAGATTATTACATAACGTCCTGCTCAGCAAGTCACCATTTCATTTGTACAAGCGATCCTGCCTCGATTCATGTCAAACTAAATCATGTTGTGAGAATTAGATAATGGATGTATGTCGTTCCTCCTCTCTCTCAGCCGTGTCCAAAGAAAGCTCGGCAGGAGTTTTGTGCAGAGGAGGAGTTCAGCCGCTACGTCACCACCGCTGAGAGCGCTCTGAAAGCTCTGCAGGCTCTCACAGAACGCACCTCTCCTCCAACACCTCCACCCTGGCTGGAGTCCAGACTGCAGGAGCTCCAGACCATCCTCACACACATCAGAACAGCCACACACACAAGCTAGCCCCAGATGTTTTACTTCATATATAGAAAAACTATTTAAACACAGTCTGTGAAACCCTTTGTCTGCTGCTGTAAAGTCTCAGCTTTTAAACCGGTTGTTTTTTGTTTTGTTTATTAAACTTGTTTGATTACAGATAATTGTTCACTTGTATTTATTTAGCACTTAGTCAAACAGGAGTCTATTGAGCACCCATATTGGCTCGAGGGCGTTGTCTAACTGCTTCCTTAAAGTACTTATAATATAATATTCCTACTTAATGAGATATATCTATAAAAAGTCTTATAAAACAGAACAGGGTCATATGATACAGTAAAATCTTTACTTCACCAGAAACCAAAGAGCTAATAAATTACGTAATTTCTGTTCCACATTCATTCAAAGTGCGACACTTTTTGGCCGAGTACTGTTTGCCAAAAAGTATATTTTGATTTTCATGCCAGTAAAGAAGTTGGCACTAAAGAAAAAGTAGTCCAAAAAAAAAAAAAAGACCTGATTCAGATCCTCATTTAACTCAAACAATAAAAAGATGGCTTCAAAAGTCCAGCACAATGTGATGAGCTTCCAGTTCAAATGGTTATCTGAATGAACAGACTGATGATAAACGTCCAGGAACCAACAGGATGGGCTATAAAGAGTCTCAGCCGTGACTGCATCATGCTGTTCAAACAGAACTGGAGCAGCTTTCAAGATTAGAGTTTTAAAGTCTTTGCTCCAGACGACAGGAAACGTCCTCACCAGACGCTCTCCTCCCAGTTCAGGTCGTCGTCGTCGTCGTCTCCCCAGCCTTCTGCTTCCGTCTGAGAGAGAAAAGGAGAATCATTGAAAGACAGGTAAATGACAGGAAAGCTCTAATGCTTCATTGGCAGGACAGAAAGTGACTTTTTTTAAATAGATTTTTATAGCCGAGTACACATTATCAGCTCATGGTTCACTGCATTTGTTTATATGTCATTATGTTCACCTTTTTTTACACATCAAGCTGCCTTCAGTCTAGTTTCACAAATATGGGTTGCAAAACATTTGTACAAAGCACCTTTTAAAACACAGTAACAAAGTGTAGTCTAATAACATGACACTTTTGAATTGTATTTTTAATTAACTAAGGGCCAGCAACTAAACAAATTAAAACCGTATACAGACCAGTATACTCTAATGTGCAACATATAGATACGTTTTCCTAACCCTGTGTTTATGATGTGGTTTTAAAAGTCACCTATCATGCTATTTTTAGGCAATAGCATAGGTCTCAGATATATAAAAAACATGTCTATGAAGTGTTTTGGTCAAAAAACCAGCCTTTCAGCCTTTTGTATGTCATTCTTTAGAAACCTGATACAATCAACAACAACAAAAAACACACACACACTCACCTCCGTCAGGTTGGCAACAGCGAACTTGGCAGTGAGTGTGACCGTGTCGATGATTGAGTCCTGCAGAAATGAGGTGATTTCTGGAGAGGCAGCAGAGGACAGCTGGATGTCCGGCACCATGTCTGCAAACAGGTCCAGCTCCGGGTCAGGCTGCTCCTTTTTCTTCACTTTAATGGTGAACTCCTCCCCCAGACCCCCCCCCCCCCCGGCTCTTCTTTGGCGCTTTATGCTTCGGGTGGTGTGATAACTCCAAGTCTGTCTCCTCTTGAGCCCAGCCTTCGTCCAAGGAGGTCTTGCTCTGTGTGGATGGTCGCTGGGCTGAGGTCAGTTTGAAGGGTTTGGATTGAGCCACAATCAGTGTTTCAGGAGAGTGTAGTACAGGTGTGGTAGGGCCCCCTCTGGGTGGTGTTAGTATGACTGATAAAGGAGCTGTGGGGGACAGATCTGAGGTGGCTTCAGTGTCCTCAAAGTCATCCCACGGCTCCTGCTCCGCGGCTGAGAGCGGCAGTCTGCTGCTGACGGGATCCTCTCTCTCAGAGGCCTGGATGTGGATCTGGACCGACTGCCCCCCCCTGCCCTCACTCTCCTCAGGGTCGCTCCAGTCGGGCCAGTCCTCCACTGGACCTTCTCTCAGTCTGACAGCCTTCTCTGGGCTGAAGGACTCCACCTCGGCTTCCTGATGAAAGCCGTTCAAAGGTAGAGACATCTGTCTGCTGACGTCTGGAGCACAGCGAAGAGAAAAAGATTCAGACACAGGAACGGATGATTTAAAAAGGTCTGCTATCATGCTATTTTTAGGCATATATTATGCGTCTCTCAGATATATCAAAAATATATAAAAAACATGTCTATGATGTGTTTTGCTCAAAATACCAAACAGATCATGCATTTTAGACATCCCCCATATCCCTCTATTTCAGGCCTGTTGGAGAACTGCAGGTTCAGTTATGCTGCCGTGATTAAACACCATGTTCTAAACCACATCAAGGATTATTTCTGAAAGAGTTGGAGCACAAATGCTTTTTCTCTTGCGGGTTTACCACGAGGTGAGTTCCTTTTTTTATTTCCTGCTTTTTTACACATGCTCTCTCCAGTACAGGTTAGCTCTGAGTGTTAGCGATGCTAATGTAAACAAAGACCATATTACGTCCAAAACAGTCGGGCATTGTTTCTAATAGCAACGTTTCTGATAGGGCCGTGGGTCCACATTTCCGATATTACGTCATATCGGACGCAAACCTGGATCAGCTCTATTGTACCCCCGTTTTTAGAGATTTGGGTACGGAGGAAAAGAGTGAAGGTTTTGTTTTCTGACATTTCGTGAGTTCCCTGACACACCGGGGACACATCTTTATGTATAAAATAAATCAAATTGCATTTTGCATGATAGGTTCCCTTTAACTAGCATAGAAACATGTCACATTAGAGACACAAAATACGAATAACAACCGGAAATAAGCATTTAATCCTCTTAATGTGTTAATTTACCTGATTTTGGAGGCAGAGGGTAACTTCTTGGAGTCTCCACACAAGCCTTTAAGTTACCGATGTGCCCGAGCACCGGGCCTTCAGTCCCTGTTGGTCTGGGGAACAGATTCAAGACTTTTGAAGGCTGGGCCAGTTGAGGGTGGAAGCCTCCGAATATATGGACAGGAGAGGCTGAGGAATACAGGGAAAGGAAGATTAAATGTTGATTAAATGTTTATTGCACCAGTGACATTTGATTATACAAATCCAGACTGGTTCATTCCAGAAAAACCTGTTCCTTCATTATGTGACGGACAAAAGCAGCGACAGAGCGACATTCCCAACACCTCACACCTTTCTAAAGTACTCCTGCACGAGTTTCTCCTGTAGTCAAACAAGTATTTCAGTTGGACTCTCTCTGTACTGGTTAACTGACGGTTTTACAATTCATTAAATATTTGAATTTGCTACAATACTGTGTATTTGAATCTATATAAGCTTCAGCTCAAATGAACACAAATCTTCCATCCGACTCAAAAAAGGCCACATGAATTGTTTCATAGCCTAAATGTCACATGTATAAACTTGCTTTCTCTAACAAACCTAATATGGTTTTGTTGTTTGATACTGCAAAGTGTTCTTAAAGGAACACTTAAACCATAAAATGATCATTGTATACGTGTTACTCTCACATTGTTAACTTGAATTCTTGAAGAAATATTTCTGGCAGGCCTGCAGTGTGAACACACTAACTGAGCTGATTATTGATGAAATAAAGTAAAACTATATCAAAACATCCCTTAAACACAACCTAAGCAGTATAATCCAAATCTCGTGTATCCAGTCATATGCTCTCTACTAAAACAAATTGACTCACTCTCAGGGGTGACCTCTGTGGACCTGGTGAAGTTGGGTGTGGTGCGTTTAAAGACCTTCGTCCTCTCTCCGCCGACCACCACTTGAGCTCCGAGCAACGGCACCAACACCGCCAGACTCTGCAGCGTCATGGCAACCAGCGAGTCATTGGTGTCCCTCATTCCTAACAAAACCTGCAACAAGCAACACAAAAGTTAAACTATGACAGGATTGCAAAAATGATATTTTTGTGCAACCTCAAATGTAAAACCTGCTGACATTCTTAGTGTTCTTGGCCTTTTCTTAAACATCTTAACCAATATTTAATTATTGAAGTAATAGTTTAACACTTAATTTAAACAGACCAGGCTTGCTGTTTCCACCTGCTTCAGTTTTTAAGCTAAGCTCTTCCTAGTTCAACTCTGAAGTAATGCTAATACACGAGAGTGGTATTACAAAAAAGCACACAAGCATTTCCCAAAGTGTCAAATGATTCCTTTAAATGTAGCTCAGTGTTCACTGATATCATGTTAAAGATTGTGGTTCCATGTCAGCACTGTACCTGAGGTAGGATGTGGTTTTTGAGCTCATCGTGGCAGAAGAACTCGGCGTAGATGTGGATGTGAGTCAGCAACACGATCCGGACGTGTTCCTCGTTGACCTTGAAGAGCTTGAGCAGCTGAGGAACCACATGTTTACGGTACAGGGGCACAGAGAGCAGGCATTCATCATCGTGACCACCGCCGCCACTGGAGTCTGTGGCACAGAGGAAAAGTAGAAAGAGCATTAGCACAGAAGTCATTTTGCCTGACAGAATGATTCTTTCTCCTTGGTAGGGAACTTAAGTATCCATATTATTGTTAGCAGTAGCAGAAAGGGTTTCATTAAAAGCCCACCTTACCCTTCTTTGGCTTTAGCAGATGAGGCAGGAAGCTTTTGACAGCCATGGGTTCAGCAAAAACTAGAGAGTTGAGGAGTTTGGGGACAAGACGCGTCGCTATCAGCTCCTCAGACAGACTCTGGACCCGGTCGAGAAGAAACCTGAGGAAAAAACAGCAACACACAGTGAGCATGTTAAAGGTTTCCTCTTCGGGTAAAAAGAGCATAGTTTAAATGATGCATGATTTAATTGAGGGGACGTATAAGAAACAGTATTTTAACTTTCCAATTGTATTAACCTACAATATCCAATTTACCAAAAACAATACAGAGCAATATATAACTAACTAGAAGACACAAAGTTGAGTGGGCTGCCTTGGAAAACAAAATAAGATACTGGTACTCTGTCTGCATGAACACAAAGCACTCATTACAAAATAGCACACTGAAAAAGATGTTTGTCAGCCAACACCAGATCCTCACTTAAAGAACTCGTTCTTCTCCTCTTCCGTCTTCAAGGTCAGGCTCTTCAGGAAGTTCCTCACGTCCAGGAAGTCATTGCTATTCAGAGAAGAAAATGTGTTTGAGAACAATTATTTCTGAGTAGGTAGTGAAGGTAAAGCAAAAGCAAACATAACCACACTAACCTGAAAAAGTCATGAGTCAGCAGGGAGCTGAGTGGGGGTCGACACAAGGGGTCAGAGTTCAGCAGGCCGACCTGCAGGGTCTGCTTCAGACTGTCAGACAGCTCCTGGGACACTGAAACAAGCGTTATTAGTGCATACTGACCTAAAGGGGCAACAAGCTACATTATGACGTTCTCTCTCTGCTCACCATAGCCATTCAGGAGAGAGACGAGGGTCTCCAACATCATTCCAAAAGAGTAACAGTCTCGAGAGTGAGCGTTTTTATCCGGCAGCATTTTGAAGCCCTCAACCTGGAGACAACATGCTTCATGAGAACTTGTAAACATAGAAAAGTGGACGCCGGTTCTTCAATTTTTAGATCCAAATAGTTTAAATCGCATACCTTTTCTTCTGGAGGAACCCAGCTGGCTTCTCTCACATTCTGAATGCTTGCGAGAAACTGAGAAGTAGAAGAAGAAGTGTAAAAATAAAAAAATACAAATGATAGTCACTCACAAATCTGACATTGGTGAAGCAAAAAATAAAACATACACACACAACAGATGCATCTTGGATAAACTGTCTCTTTATTCGGTGTCTTACCTCAGGTGTTGCTTCAGAGAACTTGCAGACAGTCTCCATCATGCCCAGTGTCCAGTGACCGTCCTCACTGACGAACACAGATGAAATGCAGACGTTGTTGTGGCTCGATTTGCCCTGCGGGTCGAGAAAAACTAGTTAGGAACTACTTTGAATTTATTTGTAATTACTGGAATGTGGTTGGATTGTTTTCCAAGACGCAAGGGAACCCTAACATTTATTTATCCCATGCATCAAGAACATCCATAACATCTGTTTGCAACTTATACATATCAATATTCCAATTACTTGTATATAGACTATTCTGCACTATTTATATTTTATTTTATTTTATTTACTTACACTATTTTATCTGTTTTATTGTGTTGCACTGTTGGAGGAGCCTGTGACCTAAGATTGTCATAACTACAGTGTAGCTACGTACAAATGACAAGAAAATAATTGAATCTTGAACTGTGCAGGCGATACTTTAAAAATGCTTCTTTTGGCTCACCCTCTCGTGCAGGAACACCAGCGCCTGCAGGAGGTCGTAGATGCCGGCGCAGACCTCCTCCGGCGACAGGCTGTCCAGCAGCAGCTCCAGCGGCTGCACCCGCTCTGTCACCAGGTGGATGCCCCCCCCCGTCCTGCACCGAGCAGGACAGGAAGCGCAGCAGACACGGGTGCCTCAAGGTCTTCAGGTGCTGCAGGAAATGAAAAGTATTTATGTTCTTCCTGTTAAAAGTGAGAGTCATGCAGCTGAAGGGAAAATCCAAGAGTAGGAAGTGATTACTGAGAGCACAAACCACAACTTAGCAATTAAAATAAGGACGACTGCAGTGCTGGCAAATGATTAATTTGGTGGTAATTGTTTGGTGGAAAATGTCTGTCATGATAATGCAAGTGTCTCCTGAGTGAACAGAATGCTGGCAATGACTTTATCAGGTTTGAAATCAGCACTATCCAAATCCTGGTTAAGTTTGCAGGCGGCTGCTAGATCTGCTTCACTCACCAGCCATTAAAACAATGATAATCGTTTTAGTGGATGGTAGATTGCAATAGTGTAAGATGCACAAGTCCAATTATTCAATGTTTTCCTGTGAGAACTGCACTTGAAAACGGCAAGGTGGTAGAAATTCTGAACCATACTTTGATGTTTCGTTTTTGCATCTTTACCTAAGATGTTGTCGAAATGTTATGGGTAGATAATGAACTGAAGATCTTGGGTAGATAATGAACTGAAATCCCTTCACTAAAATGTAATCAGGTTTGAAATTAAACACTAAAACAATGTCAATTTAGATGTATTGTAAATCTTAAAATGCAACTGTGGCTGTGCGCTGGGCACTAATTATCAACAAAAATAACTAGGGATGCTCCGATCGCCAATTTTAGGGCCGATCGCCAGAATCAGTATCGGCCAATACCGATCGCCAATCCGATCGAGTGGGCGGGGCCTATGGGGATCTTCCATTTAAAGTGATGTTTAAAACTCAGTTAATGGGGCTCATTCACTGGAGCTTCCACAAACATAATTATTACATTCAAATGAAGTACATTATTCAAGTTTACATTCACTTTGGATAATAACACGGGAGAAATGAGTGGAAGCGCTCTCTTTCCCTCTCTCTCTCCCCTGACAGCCCGTCAGTATCTCATGCAGCTCACTGATCCAGTAATGAGTGACCCGACAGTGAAGAATAAACCTATGTATAACTAGTTTAGCTTGTTCCAGAGGTAGATACAATAGCTAAGTGTGTTAGGTCTAACTCTTAGTGTGTGCTTCGCTCCGCTCACCGGTCCGTCACAGCGGGCGGAGCTGCAAGATTTCTGCTTCACACACGCTGCATACCGCTATTTTACTGTCTTTTTCTGACACCTTAAAATACTGCCAGACTGGTGAAGCCATTTTGGCGAGCTTGTTTAGCCGCACAGAGAAAAGTGTCACGTATTTTACGTCATAATTTTACGTCATGCGATCGGCATGTTTAGAGAGCCGATACTCACTCTCTGCTGATCGATCGGTGCTCTCTAAAAATGCCGATCGCATGACGTAAAATGATGACGGCCGATATCGATCGGAGCATCCCTAAAAATAACTATATTAAAGTACTTGCAATCTACTTATTTATATAAATAGTTATCACTGCAACAAACCGTATTTAATTTTGTCTTAATGTACATTATTTAATTTCATGTTCTGTTATTGTACATATCATATTCTATTTACATGTATATAGACTTCTTGCAGTATTTGTTATTTTATTATATATGTTGCATTGTTGGAGGAGCTCAGGTCAGAAGAATTTCATTGCCATTTCTACACTGTAGCTTATGTGCATATGACAATAAAACCTTTGACTCTTGAATCTACTTTTAGTATACTGTTGTAGTGCAGCCCCAGCAGTGTGACGGTGTACCAGGATGAGGCTCCAGGATAACTACCTTAGCCACTTTGTTGACTTTGTCCTCATTGCCACGTTTGTAAACAAACACGGAAGCAGGCTTCCCATCCTGGAGCATGGCAGAGTACATGGTGAGTCCGGAGGGGAGGGTCAGCAGCGGCTCCTCCAGGACGCAGCCCCGCGCCGCGCTGCTCTCTGCACCCATCGCCAGACCTGGAGGGCAGAGGGGGGGGGGAACAGAGGTTAAACACTCAAGAGGTGGAAGAAGTACTCAGATCACCTACCAGAGTGTAGGAATACTCTGTTACAGGTAAAAGCTCTGTATTCAAAGGGTTACTTGTTTTTCATCAATATATTACAGGTCTCAGATATATACAAAACATGCCTCTGAAGTGTTTGGCTCCAAACACCAAACAGATCATTGCAGCATCCCATAATCCCCTCTGTTTCAGCCCTGCTTCAAAAGAGCTGATTCTCTGTCTGTTACTTCAGATGAAAATAAGGAGCCCCTCCCCACGCCCCTCTGAGAGAGATTTGGTTACAAAGAACACAATGGTGCTCTAGGAGGAGATTCAGGTGATAAGGTGGGGGGGGGTGTTACCTTGGTTGGTGATTGGCTAATGGTTACACAAGCCAACACATCGTTATAAAGGGGCCAACATCTGATCAGCTCATTTTCAGGCAGGTTTTTTATATAAATGGATCAGGACAAAAAGTGAGCGAATCTTTGTTCCTGAAACTTTCAGAATCTCTTTCCACAGAGGGGACACATGTTGATGTATAAAAAAAGGTGGATTTGGCATAATAGGTGACCTTTAAGTAAAAGTAGAACAGTATCAGCATCAAAATATCCTTAAAGTACCAAAAGTAAAAGTTCTCATTATGCAGATTGGCCCATTTCAGAATAATATATATGATATGTTTTATAATTATTGATCATTAAAGTGTTCTCAAAGCTGGTAAAGGTGCAGCTAGTTTCAATGACTCTGTATACTGCAGGGTAGCTTGTGGATTTACTCCAGGTAAAGTCTTATTAAGTGTTGATTATATTTCCTTTAATTAATCAAAATCTATGTACATAATTTACCTCTGAATTGTAGTAGGGTAGAAGTACACATAAGCAAATTTGACTTTAATAGTAAATGTACTTAGTTACTTCACACCACTGCTCCAGCCCAACGTCACATGTGACACTACAAGGTTGTCAGTCGTTAAGCATGCAAATATAAATGCTTATTATAAAGTGACCTCACCTGGTTGCTGTTTATCTGTATGTTCCTCTGTAGGTAGGAGAAGAGTTAGCTAATGTTGTCAGTTGACTAGCTGGCTAACCTCAGAGCTATGTTAGCCAGCTCGTCATCGCTATGCGTGTCTGTAACCCTTCCGCCTGCAAACAATCATGCTAATGGAGGCTTAGCGCAAAATTAAGCAAGCGATTTGACAAAATTATCGAACTGTTCGCAAGGAAAAACGCAAAATACGTTGCTGTTTTACTTCTGGACGAACCAAGGGTGCTAACGTGGAGAGAAGCTGTAAACACGGACTCTTCCGGTATAGGACGAAACCATGGAGCAGGGGACGAGGTGACTTTAAAATATTTTAGAAACTAGTCACTAAGGCGTATTTGGAAACATATTTTCGGTATATGAAAGACTCATATCACTAAGGAATTAAATATCACAAGACCAGTTTAATTCTATCTTTTAAAATAAAAACACAACTGTACCAAATCCCCCTCCGCTAAAAGCTCATGGTTGCAACCAAAGTGGTGTGAGATATGATGAATTGGAAATGGGGGACCCTGATGTAAACAAGACGAAAGTCTTTCTCTGGTCTGCATCCCCTTAACAATTGTATGTTTTGAGCTGTACTGTACTGTACCCAATATACAAGCTGTTAATAAACTTTTCAATCAATCAATCAAACCGCAGATACGCGTGGATAGTGGGATAGTGGGATTGTAGAACTGCAATGGAAATAGTCAGAATACATTTTAAAGATTAGTCTGTGGTCTGTTTTGTGAACTTGTTGTTGGGGTCACCACCAGTATCACACAATCAGGGAGTTCATTATGGATACTGGAATACAAACAAGCTATGTGGAATGACAAGTCAGTTTATTTATGTAGCAGATTAAAGCAAGGCCAAATGGGTTAGAATCTGCCTTAAGAAAATACACAATTACACAAATAAAGGGCAACGTAGAGACAAAAACAATAGAGGTATGAACAAATATGAAGCTACAGGTGTCAATTCTTCCATGTAGCCATGAACTTCATGATGTGATTAGAGGGGACCTTTTATTAAATTATTATTCTGCTTTAAGTATGATCTATAATTGTTTGTAGTGGTAAATGGGGTTGTGCTATACATTTATTGTTAAATTGTTCTTTGTATAGCTAGATCCTATATAGAATGGAAGACTGTAAGTTACATTATAATATTATAAGCTATTAAAGCTACCGGAAATGTTAACATCTCATACACATAAAGTTGTTGAACAAATTGTATAATAAATACTTAATTAATATCAGTTGAATAATAGAATAGAATATGCACTGAGAGAGCACCATATATTGTATTTCTACTTTTTGTCTATTTTTAAGTTACTGTATTTTACTTTATTGCATTTTGTTTTTATTCTAGGTTCATGTAAAAACTTTTAAATGCCTTTGTGTTAAAACAAATAATATATATATACAGATACATTACTTACTTAGTGGAGATCATGTCCCCATATGTTTATGTACATAATAGTCATACACATTAATATAAATGTTATAAAAAAACACAATCAATGAATGTAATGGTTGTGTAAGACTTAAACACCTAAAAAAAGAAGAAAATGTCAGCTGTTGTCTCAGTTTCAGAAATGTTTCTTGATTTCCTCTTTTCAAGGAAACGACAACATCTGATACTGATCAAGATAGGTCTCACTTCAGTAACACACAAAATACATTTTAGTCAGAGGAAGTGATGGTTTTTACCAGATGAGATTCTGAGACAGTTACCGTAGTAACAAACCAGCAGCACAAATACACACACGTTCACTCTGAAGAAGTGAGAGCAGCAGACGACATGGACGAGCTCGGTAAGGAACTGTCAGTCATCTTTAACGCAACTGATCATCCACAAAATGATCCGAACACCGATTATTAGATGTAAATACATTAGTATCATTCTAAAACATTGAGTGCTACGATTTACAACTGTATAAAGGAGAAGGAAAATAAATAATTGAACATACAATAAGATGAAAGTGCTTAACAGGATGTATTCTGGGGCTACCAAGAACAAAGTACACAATATACTGTACTTCATAAAAGTAGTCCAGATTGTCACTTGAATAACTCTGTGTCTTGGTTCTGTTTTTCACAATGGTTTGTAATAACTATTGTGATATTTATTGTTAAATGTTTAAATATACACATTGGTCTTGCAACATAATTTGCATCTTACTTTAAATGTTTCTACTATTTCTTCTTGCACTATTTTGATTTAATAGTTGTATTGTTTTATGTAACTATGTTGCAATGTTGGAGGAGCTTGGGTATTACAATTTGTATTGCCATTTCTACACTGTAGCTACTGTGCATTATGACAATAAAGCCTTTGAATCTTGAAATATGATGCTATTTCTTGCCAGGACTATCTCAAAAAGAGTGTTATTGAGAGATAACGTTAAAAAAACTAAATCAAGGAAAACAGTGGGCTTTACTGATTATCAAAACACACACGTTTTGAAAAGTCTTTCATCTGAAAATAGATTTGACGATGTGCATATTTTGTGAAGGCAAAGGCGGAAGAAATGTTTAAGACAATGAACATTAATACCTTTTTTTAAACTGCTGTGTTGTGTACTTCGCCACACATATATTCCCACTTTTACTTTAATGTGTGGGTTAACACTGTGAAGGAGAGTTGATTTGGGGTTATATTTTTCTACCAGCGTATTGCAACATAATCGAGGTTTCACTTCTGCAACACGCTGTGCATCACTTCCTGAGGAAGCTGTCTTGCATGAAGCAACCTCAAAAATATCCACCAGCACCTTTATCTGTACATCGATAAGCGGTTCTTTCTTCACAGGAAATATTTCACCCCAGACTAATTATTCACGTCGTTTTAGTTAACCAGAAAGCTCAATTCATGTGTTTTAGTGGGTGAATACTGTTAAAGTATTCTTAAGGATGCTATGAATTTATGTTTGGAATATTTATGGCCTGTATCCTGCCACAGATTTGCTGCTGGAGGAGCTGGCTCTGAACCCAGGGGGTCTGCAGAGTGTCAGTGAGAACAGGAGCAAAGACACAGCTGCTGCAGAGGTGAAGAAAAAGCCACACCAATACAAACTACACTGTATAATAACTATAATTATCACCTTTCTTGGTTGTAGTCAAACCTGTCATTTAATCTCAATCAACTGCACTCTATGATCATTTGTAATATTGCTACTTTAATCACAGATTTACGGTGTCTTTTGGTTGTTTGTCCACAGGTGCCAGCTGCAGTTAATTCAGCATCAACCAAAAAAGGAAAAGTCTGCTCAAATGTTTACAGGTGAAGCTAAGGCTTGTGCAAAATCTGAATAGGAAACAGGAAATTACTGAAAATTCATTGCAGTGTTATAATTACAAGGTCTCTTTTCGACTTGTTTAAAGCCTCTTAATATACAGTTATCTTATTGACTTTGTATCTGTCTACTTTAAACTAAATTCAAATGCAACAAATCTTTTCAACCACAATCTTTGACATATCTCACGCCAGACAGTTCACAAATGGCCTCAGATTTCCAATGTGAAAACCTCAAAATTGCTTTGGTGTGGAAATTCATTTGTTGCGCTATATTTCTTAAATCCAACTTAAAATTAATGTAAAATATCACCCCACAATTATTTTTACGAAACACAGTTTTCCCTCAAAAGGATTTTGTACATTAATCATGGGGTATATGTATATTCTTTCAGGTACATTTAATTAATAATCAGATTTATTATGCTCTCTTATTTGCTCCTATGTGGGCTTCAGTGACCTGCCTGCTCCTGTGGCTGCTTCCCCGACCCCCGACTCCCCCACTAAAGAACTGGATGCTATCCTGCAGGACATGCTGGGTCTGGGACAAGAGGTCAGTGCAGCGTCTGCAAAAAGCATATCTCAGAATTAGTGAAATGTGTCATCATTCATCTTTTTTTGGCACATTAAAGATCACCTATTATGCGAAATCCACTTCTTCATGTCTCTTCTACATCAACATGTGTCCCCTCTGTGGAAAGAGACTCTGAAAGTCTCAGGAAGAAAGATTCTCTCTCTTTTTGTCCTGATCCATTTCTATAAAAACCTGTCTGAAAATGAGCTGATCAGATTTTGGCCACTTTATGATGTCATAACGAGTTTTTTGGCTTGTGTAACCAAGGTAACCATCCCCCCCCCACCTTATCACCTGAATCTCCAGAGCACCATTGTGTTCTTTTTAACCAGATATCTCTCAGAGGGGCGTGGGGAGGGGCTCCTTATTTTCATCTAAAGTAACAGACAGAGAATCAGACCTATAATATATTGATGAAAAACATTATAATAGGGGACCTTTAAATAATAATTCAAGTAACCGTTTCCTTTATATTCCATATAACATGCTGAAACATGAGTGAAGTGAACCAGTTCTAACAACAGATGGCAGCATTGTACCAATATCAGCACTGCCTTAAGTAATAGAAATGCAATATAGGAGTGTTGATAACTTTATACAGTCTATGGTTGATAAGCAATAACTTCAAAACAATACATGTATCAAATGCTAGACATAATAGATGTGTGTGCTAATTTGTATCATCATTCAGGATCCAGAGTCTTCAACGACCCCACCACCTCTGACACAAAAACTGTCCGTGAGAAAGAAAACGGAATCTGGGCAGCAGGAGAAGAAGAAGGAGAAGAAGGAGAACAGCAGCAGAGCAGCGTCAGACGCTAACGCTTCGACCTCCAGCAGGAAGACAGAAACAATAGATGAGCTGCTCGGAGGGCTGAGCTCCGACCTGGAGAAGATCGGCGTGCGCACCGTAGCCAAGGGCCACTGTGCGTCCTGCAACAAGACCATTGTGGGAAAGGTACAATTATAAGCATTGGAATCTATGTATTGTTAATTAAAAGAGGCCCTATTCTGCTTTTTGGTATTTTCCCTTTCCAGTAGTAAGGTAAGGTATACGGTAAGGTAGGCTATACGGTAAGGTAGCCTACGTTTATTTATATAGCACATGTTCAGACACAGAGGCAACTCAAGGTGCTTTACATCCTCATTAAGAAGACAATTAAGGAACACAATACATAAACATAATGGGATAACAGATTCATAAAAACCATGCATAAAAGAGATACATAATAGATTGAAAACAAGTGTGTTGTATAGGGTTGTGTGCTTGTAAATCCCCCCCCCAAAAAAAATATCCATTGAGCTAACCAATCAGATCAGACTGGGCTCTGGTTTCAGACAGAGGGTGAGAATATGTCCTGCAGTATGAGAAAAATAAAGAGCTTTTTGAACATTAAAGCATGTAAACATGTTACAGAGGCACAACATACAAATATGAACATGACAATTAACATTATGGCTGCTTTAACATAAAGGGTGCAGTCATCCTTGTACATGCAAATTCTTAATAGTAATTGATTTAAAAAAACGTATTTACTTGTGTTCCTTCATTTTATTTATCTTCTGTAGATGATCACGGCGCTGGGTGAAGTGTGGCACCCTGAGCACTTTGTGTGTGTGGCGTGTAACACAGAGCTGAGCACCACAAGCTTCTTTGAGAGGGAGGGGCGGCCATACTGCGACAAAGATTACCATCAGCTGTTCTCCCCACGCTGCGCCTACTGCAAGGGGCCCATTGTGCAGGTGAGGAAGCTTCATATCCAGTTTTTGTTTACCATGACATTTGATTGGATTTGATTTATTTCGAATGTGTAAAACAATAATACAAAAATGTAACATGAGAATTAGTATAAAATACCATATTAAGCAGTGTCAAATTGATATACTTACATTTTACTGATTCTAAATGATGTATAAACAAATGATCTAATTACACATCTGAAAAGGGGTGGGAAGAAGTTTACACTTATTTAATCCCACCCCTTCTCCCAAAAACTAAATTATTAACATACATATATTTCTTTTTTTCTTAAAGAAATACATTTGTTATTGAAAAACAAACACACATAAAACAACAAATAAATAAACAAACACATAAACATTGCAAAAGTGTTTTTTTAAGATATTCAGAACATAAATGCCTTTGTTTTCTGATTCTTATTTGTGCTGTCGTATACATCAATGTATTATCTCTCTATGATTGGGTGATGACATACAATAGCATGTAGTTAATTTTCCTATAGACAAATCCCACTTGTCAGCTAAATAACTACAACATAAAACCATATTGGGATTCAGCCTTCGGGCTTAAGCTGCAGTCTAAAGTCATTAATCAGAAAAAAACTAACTTCTCCAATAATTGGCTAATGTGGTTCACAATCCACTTTATTGTGTTCCCCTCACATCCGATCGTATGAGATGAGACTTACAAATCCTTAAAGGAAGTAAAGCTGTAATATTTCTCCGTCTGGCTGCTTCTCCAGAACATCCTGACAGCTCTGGACCAGACTTGGCACCCCGACCACTTCTTCTGCACACACTGCGGAGGCCTGTTTGGACCCGACGGTGAGACGTTCATTTCTTTCTCACTGGAAACCACAACTTCAGCAAACATTTGAAAATCATTTCAGGCATGTTCGCTCAGAATGAATCTCATGTGCCTCGTACCTGTCGCTAGGTTTCCTAGAAAAGGACGGGAAGCCGTATTGCTACAAGGACTTCTACAACCTCTTCGCTCCAAAGTGCTCCGGCTGTGGGGAATCAGTGAGGGAAAACTACCTGACTGCAGCCAATGGCACCTGGCATCCAGAGTGCTTCGTCTGCGCAGTGAGCCTCTTACCTCAGACCACACACACACACACACGCACGCACACACACACACACACACACACACACACACACACACACACACACACACACAGCTCTGGCTCACACGCACGCCTGGGATTAAATGAGAAAGATACCCACACAGTTGCTTTATTTGCAACATGTTGACCACAAGGCTGATGCAAACCGTATGCCTGATGAATACGTTGCGGTTGAACTGATGCAAATAAATCAAGGAAACATATTTCTCTGTGTGGGTATCTCTTACATTCTCCTCAAACCTACTTCTGTGTGCAGCATCTGGTGGAAAACGGTTCAGCGTGCAGCTTTGAGCAATTGTTGAACATAAAACGCTCTCAGCAGAGACGATCTGACATGAGGTAGCAACTCTTTATGTATTATGACCCCTAAAGAAGATCATTCAATGGCTGAAAATACAATGACCGTAAACCTGAACACGAAATGTATTGATCTTAAAGCTGACCAATCAGAATTACATAAACACAACTCAGATTAACGACATTACATTCAGACATCCAACGATGACTACCATACCCAATTATTACTGTGTCTCACCAGCAGCACAGAAACTAAACATTGTTTTACACGGAGCAGTCATTATCAGTAAGGTCAGGATTTCACCTAACCCTCGATAACCTCCATCTAACTCCAGAGGTCAGGAGGTCAAACACTCCATATATAGGATGAAGTGGACACTCAAAAAGTGTCCGAGCCTTTTTTAATTAATCTCCAGCTGAAAATAAACAAGGGGGTTTAAAAACGTAGCACCTCTGGTCGTTTTGGACACTCTCAATATGCTGTGCTACAGCTGGCTCTTGACAACTGAAGAGAGATTTGAATAAAATACCATTTGTTACCTTAAAACCACCCAAATAGGAAGTTCCTCGTGCTCGTCGATAAACTTTTTTTGCAGACTGCATTGTTGCTGTCATCGAAACTCCATTTATAATGATCAGAATGAAATGATAAATGCATTAAAACAGCAATAGTATATGCGGGTGGACTTACATATTACATAAAGAAAAGTAGGCACATGTTATTAATTATAAAAACACAATTAGTAAAACAAAATTACAGATAAATGGTAATAAAAAAAGTAGCAGTATTTTTTTCTTTTTTAGATTGACCATATAAAATATTGAAGTAGCTGGTAATATTTACAAATTGTTAATACATTACAATAAATACAAATAAAGTGTAAATTGCACAAGGGTATATTGCACGTGTGTGTATTTCACAAAGTTCTATATTTACAGGCTTTGGTATTGCACGTCAGAGAGGTTGTGTATTATATGAGACATACAACTCTATTACAATGTATACCATTTTTCTAAAATGATCAAACATATCTTCAGTTGTACCTGCACCCAGCTACAGTATAGAAACACTGCCATTTCTCACATTGGATTTGCATTTGGATTTGTTAAAAACAGGTGTTACTAAAGTCATTAATGATTCATTCAGGTGATTCTGTGCCAGAGCTGGTGTTGAGCATTCTGGCTCTCTCTCATGGCTTGCTTTCAGGTGTACATAGAACAGAGCCAAGGCTAATGTGAAGAGTTACACCTGTGCTTTTACTGCTATGACATGTCAAACTATCTGCCAAGAGAAACCATATGCATCATCCCCCCTGTACAGACACATTTAGTTTATGTTGTAAGTAAGGGTAAATAATGACCCGACAAGTTGTACCTTCCACGACTCTAATGGATGAGCTGGAGACAAACCAGCCACATTAAATCATATAACAGTTTTTAGCCTCTTTAGATGCATGGCTGTTGCATTACATACTCATATTGTTCCCTTCGGCCTCAGTAAAGTGTGTTCAGTAATGATCACAATTTTACATGTGGATAAATGTAACTTGCTAAACATTAACATGCTAGTATTATATCTGTAAGCATTGATGGATTATGAACAGAAACATCTGTAACACTGTTTTAATAAGATGCATGTCAGTGATTTTGCAGAGCATGTAGCTGTACTTCACATTACTGATGACCATTTTACAAAGCATGCCGTATAGATTAGGATCAGAAGTATCTTCATTTGTTTTTCATTCATTTCACCAGACTGTAAAAATGACAGATACTTATGATGGAATTAATCCATCACATGAAGATTAACTTCACATATGTAGAAGTGACATTATAATTGCATGATTGTACAATTGTGAGCAGGGTCTAATCAAAATTAATTACATTCAAAGCTTCCCTTATTAGTCAACCAAGGAAAACGCAGCTATTCATCACGCCGGCAGCCAAGAAGCAGCCCGTGAACGCACGAAGCTATACAAATAACATTATCATTATTTTAATGACATCCTTGTTCTTCGATTTTCTCAATGTATGTTTAGCAGGCTAGCTTGGGAATGCTACATCTGCAGCCGTTGAGAACAAATCTAAGGTCATTTAGCATTCCACTCATCGTGCTTGCCTTTTTAGGGGCCCTATAATGCTAATTTTCAGGTTCATATTTTAATGTAGTGTCTCTACTGTGACATGTTTACCTGCTTTAATGTTCAAAAAGCTCTTTATTGTAATCTCATACTGCCTGTGCTGCAGCACCTCTTTTCACCCTCTAGTCTGTCTGAAACCAGAGCCCAGTCTGCTCTGATTGGTTATCTGGCTGGCTCTGTGGTGAGATAACTTAGAGATGTCCAACCCCTTAGCCTATCACCTACAATGTGTTGAAGCGCTGGCCAATAGAAGCGTTAGATTTACATAGTGATGTCATTATGTGCCTGAAGTAAACAGGAGTCCAAGGGAGACGTTTTAACGGGTTAATTATCCAGATTTTACACTATAATTTATAAATCTGTCTCTCTTTCTCCTCCACATCTCTTCCTAACGTCTCTCCTCTGCTCTTGTACCCAGGACTGTCTGAAGCCCTTCACTGACAGCTGCTTCATGGAGCTGGGTGGCCGCCCCCTGTGCTCGCAGCACTTCCACTCCCGACAGGGCACGCTGTGCGGGAGCTGCGGGGAGCCCATCACGGGCCGCTGCATCTCCGCTCTGGAGCGCAAGTTCCACCCAGAGCACTTTGTGTGTGCCTTCTGTCTGCGGCAGCTCAGCCAAGGCATCTTCAAGGAGCAGCAAGGGAAGCCATACTGCTTGACTTGCTTCGACAAACTCTTTGTGTGAGCTGCACGACATGAACAAATAACGCAACAGAAATCAATCAGAGGCCTCACTGTGATTGTTCAGATTTAAATGTCCCTAGTATGAGTGATACATTAAATAAGGCAACTATATCATACGTTAGAATGGGTTTGCATTTGTACAGAGCAATACCAGTTTAATTTCTTCAGTACTTCAATGCCAGGGGAGGACATTTCTATGAATTACAAATTAAGAGTCTTTAACATGACATGTGACGTAAATTATTAACAGATAATGTAAAAATATCCAGGACAAAATGCTCACATTGTAACATAATTAACGATATGTTGTAAAACATGGGGGGAAACTCATTTCCGATGATAAAAACATTTTTCATTTGTGAACTTTGGATGGGTCTATAAGGTGTGTTGCTGACACATTTTTTATAGGATTTCATATATCATGATCACATAAAATGTATAAATGGAGAAAGAAAAACACAGACGTGCCCTTTTAATCTATGGTTTCCATTAAGGGATGCTCAGGTTTGCCATAAGCCTTGGCAGTGAGGAGATGCTCTGGCAGTCTGCAGCAGTTTGTCAAGGGTTTGGACTATGTGGCCTGATAGCTTGTATTGGCAGAGGCTGGCATCGAACCGTCGTGCCAACCCCAGTTTCCTTTTACTCTGATGTACCAACCTCTTCAATCTCCACACAGGCTCCTTTATAGACTGCATGGAAGATTAATGAAGGTGGTGAGGGGAACAAAGGTGGTTTCAGAAGGAGTTCACATCAATGCAACTCTTCAGTGATTTTATTTAAATGTTGAAGGATGAATCAGCCACAAAGTACATTTATTTTTGGTGACGCACGTTGCATGTCTGGCCCTATTTTAACTAATTAAAGCTCAAAGAAAAAAGTTTGGATGCAAGTCAGGGAAAGATATCTGCAGCACAGTTAGGATGATATGTTTGTTTAAAAGTCTGCAGAATCACATCATAATAAAATCAATGTTTTGCACAAATACCAACTTTTCTGAACTTTTTGAGAAGGGGGGGGGGCGGTTATTCTGCCACCTATTGTATTAAATATTGAATTGAGTTAGAGGTATAGTCATTAAGAATATAAGAAGTTTTTTACATGTATTCTCCTGTTTTTGCTTGTCTTATGTGATTTTGCACAAGATACATTTTTAACCTCTGATGTCTGCATGTCCCTCAGACAAATTATGAAAGGCGATGCTAAAAAAAGTCAAAAAGGAAATGACTATCAGGACTTTTCACAAATCTGCAACTGATTTTAACACAAAACTAAAAACAGGAACCACTTGAAGCTCAGGAATCAATCATTAAAGGTCTCCTATTATACTATTTATCATCAATATACTATAGGTCTCAGATATATACAAAACATGTCTCTGAAGTGTTTGGCCTCGAAACACCAAACAGATCATTGCAGCATCCCATAATCCCCTCTGTTTCAGCCCTGTTTAAAAAGTGCTGACTCTCTGTCTGTTACTTTAGATGAAAATAAGGAGCCCCTCCCCACGCCCCTCTCACACCAACGCGTTTTCAGCTCCGGCTCGGAGCTGGAGCTGAAAAGTACCGTTTTTTCCTGTTCACACCGCAGAGGCGCCGCCTCTTAGTTCCGGAATCCGGTTCACTAACAGCTCCAAAAAATTGTTGGTCTAGAGGCAAGAGCTTTGGAGCTAATGCGGCTTTCACACCAGCGCTTTTCCCTTTCTAGCTCCGAGCGGGAGCTTTTCTGGTCTCCGAGCCGGAGCTGAAAACGCGTTGGTGTGAAAGGGGCATTACGGCCCATCCACACAGCGGCGTGCGTTGAAGCTTCCAACGCTTCTGCCCATTCACTTTGAATGGGGTGACGTCACTTTTAGCCGAACTGCATTTTGGGAAGCGACATGGAGCGTTGCTGGCGTAGCTGGCGTCAAAAGTTGAGCAATGTTCAACTTTTGACACCTCGATGGAGGCGTCAGCCAATGAAATCCCGTTTATGCAAATCTGCCAGTACAAGCACTAGCCAATCAAACCGCGTGTATGCTGGGAGAGACTACGCAGGTCATTTCCTCATATTAAAAAAAATGGAGGGAAAATTAATTATAGCGGTAGTGAATCACCCGGTGCTGTATGATCAGTCTCTGTTCATCTACCGGGATACAAACCGGAGGAGCGAGGCATGGAGGGAGGTGGCAGAGACAGTGGGTGAATCTGGTAGGTTTTCGCCTGTTTGGGGATTTTTTATCCAGTTTACTTCGTTTTAACATTGCTATTGCTTTGTATGTCGGGGGCAGGAGATTCATGTGATTGTGGTTGTTGGTAGCGTTGCTCGCAACAAATCCCCAAGCTTCAGATACGCCCACCTCCAAGCGTCAACGCACGCTGCTGTGTGGACGCTCCGTAAGAGGCGGCGTCGCTTACGTCTCTCTTACGTCGAGGCGGGTTGAAGTAGATGCTGAAGACCACAAAGAAGTCTTGCATTTCGCATGTGATGTTTGTAAAGTTCCAAGTAAAGTCGTCCCTTGTAAAGTCGTCCGATGCCTTCCATTTCGTTTCGTAAGAGGATAACCAAAGCGAACAGCGCTTCAATACAATCGGCCATTGTTGTTGTTGTCGATGTGAGGGATTTCCGCGCGGTTTGGATTTTATGAAGCAGGCACGTAAACGGTGACGTCATGACGCAGCAGCGGCAGCTCTGGGTGGTGTGAACAGAGCGGGAGCAGAAAAGGGAAACCGGAGCTGAACCAGAAAAGCTCCCGCTCGGAGCTAGAAAGGGAAAAGCGCTGGTGTGAAAGCCGCATCTGAGAGATATTTGGTTAAAAAGAACACAATGATGCTCTAGGAGGAGATTCAGGTGATAAGGTGGGGGGTACCTTGGTTGCTGATTGGCTAATGGTTACACAAGCCAAAAAAACATTATGCCAAAAAAACATTATGACATCACAAAGTGGCCAAAATCGAATTAGCTCATTTTCAGACAGGTTATTACATTAGAAGAAATCTCCTGGTCATTTCTTTCGTTGCATGCACATGATTGAGCTTCTTCTGAACCGATTCCCAAGATGCAGAGAGAGAGAGAGAGCGAGCGAGAGCCTGTTCTGCAGCCCTCTTATGCCTCTTTCACACCAGCGCTTTTTCAGCTCCGGCTCGGAGCTGGAGCCTGAAAAGCGCTGGTTTTTCCTGTTCACACCGCAGCGGCGCCGGCTCTTAGCTCCGGAATCCGGTTCACTTCCAGCTCCAAAAAATTGTCGGTCTAGAGGCAAGAGCTTCGGAGCTAAGAGGTGGCGTCGCTTACGTCTCTCTTACGTCGAGGCGTGCAGGAAACTAAACCCACCTCCCCTGAACATGGGTCGATTGTCATGCCTGCCTACAAGCAGTAGTGCTGTGCTTATAAACAGACTTTATAAAGTCAGGCAACACTAACCAGGCTTCGTGTGATTCTGTTTATTTGTACCTTACTTTGACCATCCGTTCACTGTTATTGATCATTGTGGAGAGAGGCAGACGTGTTGTTTTGTATTATAGCAGCTATCGGATGGAATCAATACATGGGCTGCACAGGTTGTCGTGTCCGACTATCACAAGTAGAATCATAATAAAAATACGCCGGTAAAATGTGCCTGTAGAAAACGGTTTATGCCACAATAGGATAGCAATAGCAAGTAGTCAGTGTAGCTTCGGTTGCTATGCTAACATCACCCATTTTATACCAGAGAAACTTTCATAACAGCGTTGTGATACCAAACAGCGTCAATTCAGACTGACACACATTGACTTAGGCTAAGGGGAACTGGGGATATGTATCAGCTGCTTGTGTGAGTCGGACAGTGAATACTTTAGAGCGGCCGCTGCAGTGTGAGCTAACCGGGAGCTAACGGAGGAGAATAAACTCCCGTGGAAGAGCAGCCAACACGGCAGCGGTCGGTAAATGCTGCAGAAACACATTAATAAACAATGAACCACGGCACTCTGGAGCAAAGTATAAGGTTGGAGAAGTCGTTATTCAATTTATTCTGGCTTCGTGTGATTAAAAGCAACACGATCATCGACCCGTTGTTGTGAGCGCCGTAATGCCGTTGGGGAGCAAATCAGCTATGTAAACGGTGACGTCATGACGCAGCAGCGGCAGCACCAGTCGGGTGCTGGACGGTGTGAACAGAGCGGGAGCAGAAAAGGGAAACCGGAGCTGAACCAGAAAAGCTCTAGCTCGGAGCTAGAAAGGGAAAAGCGCTGGTGTGAAAGCCGCATTATATCCTGGAATCAAGTGCCACAGGTGGGTCCCATCACTGCTGATTACAACAAATACACAGGTTACAGCAGCACCACCTGGTGGACAACCACAGGGTTGTCACGAAATGGATCAGGACAAAAAGAGAGTGAATCTTTTTCCTGAAACTTTCAGAATCTCTTTACACAGAGGGGACACATGTTGATGTAGAAAATACATGAACAAGTGGATTTTGCGTGATAGGTCCCCTTTAAAGGTATGGTATAGAACATAAAATGTAGTAGTAAGCTGATTGAGAGGAATGTCTGTATCCCAGAGAAGTTCATTAAACCACTTTATAAGTATACATTATAGGCCTATAAAGCAGGTTTAGTAAAGCATTGATCATCACAGAAACAGCCTTGAAGTTACCCAAGTCTCTGTAGAAAACTAAATCTTCATGTTGATGTCAAACTGTATCTCATCAAACAGCGTCTTATCTCCAGATGAACACAGTCTACTTTCTGTCGGCGCAGCAGGACGTTTTCTTCAGCTTTTATTCAACCCACTTTGACTCTCTGTGAAGTTAGTGTGTAAGTGGGAACGGAGGAGGGCATTAATCATGCTGTCATCACCGTCAGCGCGGCCTCCACAGAATACAGACCTTGCATCATGGAAGGATTGTGTGTATATCGCGTTCAGTCAAAATCCAAGATTGTAAGTGTTTTAATGATCTAATGGCCCGGTTCCCAGACTCCTCCTGAGCTTAAAGACAGAGTGTGTTGTTAAATGTGTTAAAACATGCCTTAGAGATTTGCATGAACCATATGTTAGAACAACATCAACTTGGGTCTGATCAGAGATTCTGGCATCTGACACATTTGTAGTATGTCGCATTTTCCAAGTTACTGAGGGGTGATTATGTTCATCCTAGTATTGAAAACATGTCTTTCTGCACCAATCTCTGTCACAACTTCATGGTATTATAAGTTCAATCAGGAGAGACGGTTTTGATGTAAGAATACATATTTATTGCCAGGAATACACAAATGAATGTTTTGGCGATTAGGCTCCGTTGTATCATTCGGGAGGGGAGAACCGATCCGATGAAATCTCCTGGGGTCTACACACTGGTGGTGGTGAATGGATAGTTGGGGTCGGTCTGAAGAGGAGTGGCTTGGCTTGACCCTGGATTGAGAGGGACAGGAGGTGAAAATGGGTGGAGGAGGGTTGCGTTGAATCACCTAAAATGACAGCTGTCGGAGGGGAGAGCAGGGCCGTTTCTCAATCGCGAGGATTTTGGCTTCCAAGCCAATATTTCAAAGATGCTACGTCATCGAGTGCCGCCGAAGGACTGTTCCAATCTCCAGCATACTTGGAATTCCACCAAGGCCGCGTCCTTGGTTTGGAGGAAATTTCGAGGCTGCACATGGGTAGACTTCACGTCCTTAAAATCCCCACAATGCTTTGCGCACGGGCCAATTTCAAAAACCCTTGCGGAGAATGGCTGAACCGACGCAGCACACATTTAAATGTAAGTATGTAGTGGCGTAGAACATGTGTTGGTAAATATGTTACTTTGTTACATTTGTTTGTTATCACGAAAAATGTGTTCCGTGAAAGTAAAGCAAGTTCATAATTAGATAGACATCGTGAGGTATTTATTTTTGGTACAGTTTATGTTGAAACCGTTGGAGAGAGTGGCACACTTGTTAGCCTGTTCCATTCTTCTTCGTTTTCCGTAGCCGTGGCTTGGAAGTATACTTGCTTCGTTTCTGAAGGAAGTGACTTGGAAGTACGCGACTACTAAACCAGCATCCTCGGGATTGAGAAACGGCCCAGATTTAAGAGGTTTAGCGGAGCGCTATAGGCTTGTGAGAATAGAGCGAAGTGATTGGTTAAGCTGGGGAGTGACGCCCCCGATCATTTATTGAGAGGAGAGAGAGTAGTAACGGCCCGTCCACACAGCGGCGTGCGTTGAAGCTTCCAACGCTTCTGCCCATTCACTTTGAATGGGGTGACGTCACTTTTAGCCGAACTGCATTTTGGGAAGCGACGTGGAGCGTTGCTGGCGTTAAAAGTTGAGCAATGTTCAACTTTTGACGCCTCGACGGAGGCGTCAGCCAATGAAATCCCGTTTATGCAAATCTGCCAGTACAAGCACTAGCCAATCAAACCGCGTGTATGCTGGGAGAGACTACGCAGGTCATTTCCTCATATTCAAAAAAATGGAGGGAAAATTCATTATAGCGGTAATGAATCACCCGGTGCTGTATGATCAGTCTCTGTTGATCTACCGGGATACAAACCGGAGGAGCGAGGCATGGAGGGAGGTGGCAGAGACAGTGGGTGAATCTGGTAGGTTTTCGCCTATTTGGGGATTTTATATCCAGTTTACTTCGTTTTAACATTGCTATTGCTTTGTATGTCGGGGGCAGGAGATTCATGTGATTGGTTGTTGGTCGTGTTGCTCGCAAAAAATCCCCAAGCTTCAGATACGCCCACCTCCAAGCATCAACGCACGCTGCTGTGTGGACGCTCCGAGTACTTTGCCGTACTTAGTGCCCCGGCACTTAGTACCCCAGGGCAATAAAGCAATAGCAATGTCAAAACCAGGTAAACTGGATATAAAATCCCCAAACAGGCGAAAACCTATCAGTTTCATCCACTGTCTCTGCCACCTCCCTCCATGCCTCGCTCCTCCGGTTTGTATCCCGGTAGATGAACAGAGACTGATCATACAGCACCGGGTGATTCACTACCGCTATAATGAATTTACCCTCCATTTTTTGGAATATGAGGAAATGACCTGCGTAGTCTCTCCCAGCATACACGCGGTTTGATTGGCTAGCGCTTGTACTGGCAGATTTGCATAAACGGGATTTCATTGGCTGACGCCTCCGTTGAGGCGTCAAAAGTTGCTCAACTTTTGAAGCCAGCAACGCCATGCAACGCTCCACGTCGCTTCCCAAAATGCAGTTCGGCTAAAAGTGACGTCACCCCATTCAAAGTGAATGGGCAGAAGCGTTGGAAGCTTCAACGTACGCCGCTGTGTGGACGGGCCGTTAGTACCAATCGCGTTCACACCGGAATAAATTCCCTGAGGGAAGATTGCGCAAATGAGCCGCTGACGTCACTTCTTCTTCTTCTGCTTTGGGTTTACTGGCAGACTGCAAACAACTTCACGGCATGCCACCCGAAGTCCCCGGAGTTGGGGACTGGCTTCAGTAGAAGCTGCTGGGACTCCCAGCATCTTCTACTGAAGCCTTCCGAGTAAATCGCCAGAACGCCGACACCTCCTCATCACTCCACCGCTCCCAAGTTTTTTTTTGTGTTGAGTTTTACGGGGCGTGGTTTGCAATTCGCCCAGCCAATAGAAATTGGTACTTTTTTGGTACCAGGATCAGAGCCCTAGAGAGATAAGAGTTACGACACTCTTTGATGTCGCCGCCAGCCGGTCACGTGGTTTATGTATGCCGGGATAGTTCAAAACGCACTTCCGTTGCAATGCTTCTCTATGGCAAAAACAGCACAAACATGGTCAAAATAGTCATAGATTAAACCAACGCTGTTATTTTTTAAAGATTGCTTTCATATTTACATGATGTGGTTACACTTTGTATGGATTGGCACTATTTATAAGTTTAGTTATTTAACGATATTTTGAGGGGAAAGTGTGGCAGCACAAGCAGGCTATGTTGCTGTCACTGCCAGGGCAGTCACGTCCGTAGTATAGTTGCGCTGCGCTGTCATGTTCTTCTATGGGACAGACAGACAGCAGCGATTGCGTTATTGAATGGTAAATATATATATAAAAAAAACACACACACCCAAGTACTTTTTCAGCTGTAATTGCATTATTGCATACTTTTTATTGACAGTTTTGTATTTGGAGAGGCAGGGTGACAACGGAAAGCTTGGTAGCCTATTACTTAGATACGTTTTACATTTTTGGAGGGAAACGTTTGTGTTCATGTTAGCATGGGTAGCATGATCATGTTAAGACTATGAATATCATTTTACCACAAAAGTGGATGAACAATTGATATATGTGTTTGAACAAGAACAACAGGAAGAACAAAGTAAAAGGGACGAACAAATGTGTGAACAAGTATTAAGAACAGTGTATGGAAAAAGGGATGTGATGTGGGATGTGTGTTAGAACAAAACAAAGTAAAATGAATGAGAAGGAGAACAAAGAGGGTTAGGGTTCAACAGAAAAAGATTAATTCAGCCAAAAAACACAATTTTGATTAATCTAAAGCAGGGGTCGGCAACAGGCGGACCGCGGTCCGGACCCAGACGCCGACCTATACGGACCCGGAGCTATAATCAATACATTAATAGGGGTTTTTTCGGCTCCTCCCGCTTTTTTAACGCTGATTTGGTTGACTTGTGTAATACGTGGAGAACCGAAGAGTTTTCGTTTTGGGGGTGGGGGGGGGGAGTCCGTCCGTCAGTCCGACTGACGGACAACTTCTCACTTCAAAAAAGAAGAATAAATCTAGACCGCAAAAATAATTAAACAAGCGAGTACCTGTTTTTCCTGTCCAAGGACAGGTTCCTCGTCTGAAAGGAGTGCTGACAGAGAGCACCGGAACGCCGCTCCAGCTCTTCAAATATTGCAATACCCATAAGGAGCCGTACACATGCCGCAGTGTTTGCGTGGCTGTGTCTTTAGTTGTAAGCACAGTGGCGATCTGTTGTTATTAGCATCTGGTTAGCTAGCTATGCTAACGAATTTAAAGAGCTTTTCTGCAGGTGGAAGAGAGCTCTCTCCTGAGAGGCTCAAATAACCTCAGCTCAGTGAGGTTAAGGCACACCTTGATATGATCATTATAGTTATTAATTAGACTAAATGAAAAACAGGTATAAAATACTATATGACAGTAACAAAAAAGTTGTTAAAAATAACAAGAATAGAGTTTAAAAGGGGAGTGATTTGTAAAAATATCCAAAAAGAAAAAATATGCTTACAGTTCTGTTTCATATGGGTGTTGAGAGATGTATCCATAGATATCTTAATGTTGCTCTCAAAGTGCACCAGATTGATGCTTTTAACTTCAATATTTAAAAAAAATCTTCCCGGGGGAGCATGCCCGGACCCCCCTGGAGGAGGTTTGGTCCCCCCCCACTTAAATCATGTTCACATGGATAGGATACTAAATACATTTGCACACATCTTGTGTCCATATCTTTCTGTTTTGGTGGTCACGCCACACCGTGCACATGCCTGCATACGTGAGTCATGGTGAGATATCTGGATTAAGAGGTTGCTTTTTCTTTGCACAGCATGAAAGAAAGGCCAAATGAATGGGCTGTGATTTTAGTTTTTTTAAGCAGAGGTTGAGTTCAATAATTTGTACGACCCTCGGAGGATGTTGTAAAAATTTAAAGGAAAAAGGTTCCCCACCCCTGCTGTAAATAATAATAAAAACCCTTGATTTTTAACTTAACATCTCTGTCTCCTATTGAGTATATTATAAAGAATAGCAGTTAATTGAAGCATTATAGCACAGGCCTTTGTCAGATGGTATATTACGCTGTTTTTTTCCTGCTTCGAATAGTTCTCTCTTTTTTCACCATACCTGTGTTCGCATCACTGAAACCAATGAGCACCTGCATGTGTGTGAGAATGACCCTGACACCATTTCAACCCAGATTTACAAACTCCTGGCAGGACAAGCTCCAGCTCAATTCTCGCACTGAATTTTAAAAAAGCGAGTGAGGGACTGCAATATAAGAGGGAAAGAAAGATAAACTTTAAAACTGTTCAATTGTTATGATGTGTAAAGACTGATATTGTTCTATAATCGGCTGAAACTGTTAAGTCATGATGTGAAACGGTTAACAAAGAAAAAGGGAAACTCAAGCTGCTGCTACAATTTTATTTATCTAAAATTAAGCACTTTTAAGATGCACACATTTTCAAAAGCTATTTTATTTATTTTCTCTATTTTATTGTTAAATGCAGCCCGAGAGGAACATTACACATATCCACAGTATTTACTGTATATCTGTAGAGTTCAATGTTAATTGACAATAAATATTGTTGTTTTTGAATTGTATTTTCTTTATTTGATTGGCAGTCAGCTGTTGATTACATGCAGACGTTGATAAAGCTACAGGTCACTTCAATATATATCACACTAATTCATAAAGCAAGTTAGACATTTTGATGTTCCGGACCTTTGCATGGGGACATTTTCTCTAACTGGACCTCGTTGAATTTTAGTTGAAGACCCCTGATCTAAAGTGTAAAACAATCTTCAACACAGACCAAATTAGTGCCCTTGGACAACAAAATATATGGTGGGGCAAAGAAACGATAAATTAAATTGAGAGTGGGAGACTAAAAGTGATTACTATGATAAATATTCAAACTATTTACAAAACTATTTACAGAAGCTACTGTTGAACCAGCAACAAAAACAGGTTTGTCAACAATAACGAGGCCACTTTGCCAGGGGGAGGTGATCCAGCGACGAGACAATAAAGCAATTCATATTAGGTTCTGTTGAGACACTACAGAATATAAAACCTTCCAAGCCATGACCTCTGCCTGAAATCAGGACCACTCAGAGGAGAATGCAGCACATCAAACTGGAGTCAGGAGTGTGAATAACACATTTTGGCCAAAACAAATGGTTACTTACCAATACAGTGACTGAACATTGGACACCAACAAGTTTGAGCTCATGTCGTCACGCAACACTGTTACTGCCCTAAGTCATTTCAAGATGGAGGAGTATGATAAGGCCATCAGCTTCCTCCGGGACTCCATTCATCTGTTTCGGGGCCTGAAGATCGGTCCCAAGGGCAGCTGGAAACCAGTCCAGACAGGACTGGTGATGGCCACAACAACAATCCTGGAGGTCCAGCATGACCTGTTGAGACAAGTGCACAAATGTGTTCTCACAAGCCGCTTCACTCAAGACTGCCTGAACACATTTTCGTCCATTCGTCTGAGGAACTCTGTCCCAACACCTGTAGAGTTCCAATATGCTCTGCGCGCTGTCACTGTGGGTCAAAAAAAAAAGTGCTAATTATTTTTTTTAAGTGTTTATTTTGTTAAAAATAAACATTTTGGATGCATGAAGGAATGAAGGATGAAGGAAGGATGAGCCTAAAAGGCTCATCCTTCATTCACTGCTGTAGAGTAGCCTATTCAGTAGGCTATTATTTGTTTAAGACTGAATAATACCTTTGAAGAACAATCATTAAACTAGTGTGTATATTACAATACAAAGGAATCTATCCTAGCATGCCATCAAGCATTAAAAAGTAGCGCTAGGCTAGTTGTACAGTACAGATGAGTTAACACGGAACAGTACCAAAAAAATCAAAGTACAGTCAACATGTCACATAATCAAATGTTAGTATATCCCAAAATTCAATGAAATATTAAATGAAATATTTATCACAAACGCCACCTCATTTCTACTAGTGCTAGCAGTTAAGTCATATCATACAGAAAAAGCCGACTAAGGATGGCTGACACGATCAGGTTCAGCGGATAAAAACCAAAATAACAATAAAAACACATAATCAATCTAAATCCTGCTTGTTAGTTACCCAGCATCATTGATATATAAGCTGCTCATCATTACTGAAATCTTACCTTCAAAGCTGACGAAGTCGCGCTAGCTAACTATCAGGCAATGCTAGCTAAATTGGTTGTAACAACCAAGATAAAATATAGATAATTACGCTGTGCATATACAAATGAAGACCAGTATAAGCATCATAAAGGGCCTCTGATACAATATAGACAGTTGACAATTCAAAAGAGTTCGATATTTCAGCGACTTACCTCTGGAACTAATCGACGCGCCGTAATGTAAGTGAATGAGGTCCAACGCCCAAATGACAATATTTTGAACTATTTCGATGTCCATACCCCGGAAGTAGGCGCCGCCATTTTTTACAACGGAGGTCTATGGGAGTGTCGTAACTCTTATCTCTCTAGGGCTCTGACCAGGATAGTACCACCTCTCTAGCAGGCACTAAAAATGGGGGTAAAAGTTCCCGGCACTAAGTACTCTTTTTGGTGCAAAATAAGGGGTACTAACGGAACTAAACGGGAAAAGTACTCCGGTGTGAACGCGCCTATGGAAATAGTAAATGAATGAGTAGAAGGTCTTCCTGGTTGAACTTGCGCTGAGCTTCAGTAGATTTACCAACACTGTCTTATAACCAGCAAGTATTGCCTTGTAACATCAAAAAGCTATAAACTATGTTAGGTTAAATTTAGATTAGCTTAAAACCGCAGAGGAACAATCGCCTAAATTAATAGATGTATTGACTTAAATCCGAAAACTCTTAAGCTTTACAAAGTCTAGCGTCTCTAGAAAGATATTAAACAAAAATATGATGCAGTGAAAGAAGTGTATGCCCAAACAGTACATAGGTGACATCATTTTTTAAATGTCACATTATCAAAATAATAGAGGAGGTTTGTTCATCCTAATATTGAAAATGTTTCTTTCTGAAGCATTTACTTTCACAAATGCATGGTATTATGAGAAGACGTGGCAACAATGACTTATACATAGGTAAGTTGTGTTTAAAGCATGTGTCCTGACAATTAAAAACTGTAAACTAGCGGTTTACTTCAATTTAGATAAGCTCAAGACCTCTGTTGCCCATATGTGAACACTCTAGTGATCAATCTTGAATAAAGACAACTCCAAAGCTTTGAAAATATTGCTTAGAAATGTGGAAAGAAATTCTGGCATTGACAGAAAATATATGTATGTTATCATATGGCGGAGCATATAGGGAGGAAAAGGGCTCTCTGGCACGTAGTAAAAATGAGAAAACATGAAATGTGAGCGGGGGTCTTTTTTAAAGGGGTGGCGAATAAAGGGCCGTCTGTAGAAAGCCGAGAGAGTGTAACTCAGGTGACATTTACTGCAGTGAAACAGAGACTGGGAGCGCAGTGGGCCATGGGATGGCAGCGAGACCTCCACGGGGAGGGAGGAAGGCATATATTGGGACATAATGGATACTGGTGATGGGGGGGGGGGCAGGGTGAGGAGGGCAGGGGTTGAAGAGAGTAGATGCAGGAGTTACCCCTGAGTGACACTGAAACCAAACACTTACCTCTTCTCTTGTAAAATGGCCGTGTCCCCTCGACCACCTCTGATAGGACGATGGAGCCGCACCACACTCTCTGCCTGTAAACCCAGCAGTTCATCAGCTTTCAACCAGTAACTGTCAGATAGGTTTTAGGTACAGACTCTCTCATTAATCAGTACATTTACTTTTAGATACAGATCTATGGAAGCGCTAGCTGGAGACGACTCCTGCTGCAAATCAGTCCCGACAATGTGGAATCACAGCCCCCGTAGGAGCAGTAAAACATGAATGGATCAGATTACTGTTACATCATTAGGCCTATCCATGTATGAGCTGATGCACTTAACAGGTCACTGCATGTGAAGAGTATTACTTAACGTTAACATGGTGCTTTATGGGGAAACTATTGGCTTCTGATTTGGAACAACAATATTTATCGCACTGACAGGATTTGTTCGAATAAAAAAAAAAAAAATGGATATGCTTATAATTTTGTAGCTATGCATGTTGGAAAATCTTATTAGGTCATTTAACAACACTTTTGGAATAGATGCCAATTAACTTCAGAGAGTACTATTTGCTTCCAGTGCAAACATATTTCACAAAAAATGTGGAAGGAACTAGTGTCTCTTCAATTTCACAAGATCATAGTTTCTTTGCTCAAACAAAGATGGCAGCCGGATGAGTTATGTAATTCATGTAATTACAAAGAAAATAGGAAAATAAATTCATGCATTTGACCAAGATGGTCACCCCTACTCCCAGCCCTGAGCTCACGTTATAGTGCATGAATGTAATTTTTTGCGGTGTTACGTATTGAGAGCAGTTTTTTAATGAGTGCAACCAGAATGTTAACAAATAGTAAAAGTTAGATGAATTGTATGGATTAGTAGAAATATTTATTTGTATTAATTATTGCAGAAGAAACTGCCAGAAATTGTGTTTTCTTTTAGATTTCACAAGTTCTTTTTGCGAATTGTAAAATGTTGCCAGTTGTTCTTAAACTTTCCAAGTTGGATTAACAAAAAGCAGACGGTGTGTTTTTTTAGGCTATGTTGCCCATAAACTGAGGTATAAACATTATTATGTAATCCCGGCACAATCACCTGTCACCTTCAGTAGTTACTGTATCTTTGTATGTATTGTAACTTTTTGAGGAGGACTTCAAAACACGGTCAGGTCAAAGTCATGCCTTCATTTAACAGCTGTTATTGCTTATAGACTGCAAAACAGGTGGAAAATTATTCATTCCAACTTATTTGCTGAAGATTTCTGCACCTTCTTTACTTTGCAAGAAACTGTCATCTCTCATCATGAGGCTGAGCCGCAGTGGGCTGGCAGAGGTGAGACCTTGAGGTTGTTGCAACTTAAACGACCGTAAAATCAAAACATTATGTGTCTGAACTGGAAAGAGTCGGTGTGTCCGTCATTATCGGCCAAACAGGGACATGCTAATTCCACTGCTCCACACAGGTGAGCCTACAGAGCCTGCACAGGATAAAGTCTCCTCTGAAATAGAGTGTGTCTGTGTGAGAGTTTAAACGAATGTGTGAAAGGAAAAGTGACAACTTCAACACCTCAGTAATTACTTCCACACAGAGAGAAGTTGAGCCGAGCTCCACTTCAGGGTGTGTTTGTTTTGGCGTTCTGCTGATGCTGGGCGCTGGTATCACACCTGATTCATGACTGGCTGCTTTGTCCAGGAGGAACTTCTTGTTGTCGTTGGCCGAACACCGAGTGCTCCTTGCTATCTCACACACAAGCACACATATGCACAAACCCAGAAAACTTGTAAACAGTATTTGTGGATATTCATGCTTTTTATGCTCTCGTGGGGTTTGGTCTACACATGCACAGACGCACACAAAAACAAGTAAACACAAATAGCTTCAGCCAACCCTTCCAAACCAATACACTCACACAAATCAATTCAAGCAAGGTATTTATGGGTTTAGTATCACGCACACACACAGATGCAAAACATATGCACACATATGAAAACATTTAAAGGATTTTTATGAGTTTGGTCTCCCTTTCCATCTCTCTCACACACACACACACACACACACACACACACACACACACACACACACACACACACACACACACACACACACACACACACACACACACACACACACACACACACACACCATGTATACATCACTTCAGGGGACATTACATTGACTTACATGCATTTCCTGGAGACTTATCCTAACCTTAACCATAACCAACACATGCCTAACCCTAACCCTAACCCTTAACCTTACTCTTACGCTAACCCTAATCCTAAACAAGTCTTCACCCTAAAATTAACGATTCCCCTCATGGGGACCTCCAATTTGTCCCCATAAGCGAGGCGAGTCCCCACACGTGACTGTGTAAACAGATTTAGGTCCCCACAAGTATAGTAATGCTAGGCCACATACACACACACACACACACACACACACACACACACACACACACACACACACACACACACACACACACACACACACACACACACACACACACACACACACACACACACACACACACACACACACACAGGCAAAAACCAGACAACTATGCTCTTCTCAGGTTTGGTTTACAAAAGCATATCTGTGCGAGCATCACTGCCTGCTCTGTGCGCTCGCTGATCCTTAACCAAGTGAACTTGACGTCTCCAGTTTTATGGGTCAAATGGAGTCAGCTCCCGGAGGGGGGGGGGGGGTCGCTATGGGAGGTTCTCAAGACGACTTCAAAACACTTCAACTCCTATTTCAACGCTGCATATCTTTGTCTCTTCTTCCTCACATCTCCTGCCAAGTCTCTCAGACGGACCTCGAATCTCAACACGGAAAAAACCCAGGAGAAAAAGGTGCGCGGGCATTTCTATCTGGATGTTAATAATGGAGCAGACCAAACGGGCTGGGTTTATGAGAGATTTATAAGACAGTAAGCTCCTTCTGTGTGCTAGCCTTTAGTGTCAAGAAGATAGATGGTTTCATTATGCTGCTTCATTGTGTCCATGTGTGGGTACGGTGTGCCAGAGCAATACAGTCTGAAATATATGCGGGTAAACCGTTCTGGAGATCGATGGTGCTCATTGACAAAATTAAAGCCTTCTGATAATTGTTAGAACATGTTTTATATGGTGGGGAAGCTAAAGACTTGGCCGAGTTTTCTTGAGATCACAGGGGCTTCGGTTTTTAGAATAGCTGAGGTTCAGACCAGGTTTCCTCAGGGGTTAAAAATGGGGATACTGGGAGAATTTGATACAGCAGTGGAGGTTGTTCAGACTTGAATCACCATTGCTGCATTGTTTGTAGCTCAACCTAGGTGGCAGGGCTGAGGATTGGACCCGGGGTCAGACAGTGAGTGGAGAGGCTCTGGGATCGGGCCAATTGGGGATGTGGCTGTGATCCAAATCCACCGCCTCTGTAGCAGCCGCAGCATGGATCATTATAAGATTTGTTTTAAAGAGTAATGGTTAACCGCAATATGGCCCTGTTGCCTAAGAGCTGAATGGCCTCCTGGGTTTAGACAAGCTCGTGGATGGTTGTTGAGGGCTAGGAAGACCCACGAGAAGCACATCGGGGGTTGGCTGCTTGATAAATCACAGGAGCTGCAGCCCACAAGGCCGGGCCGCCAGTCAAACCTCCAACAGGCCTGCTGTGGAAACACTGGGAAACTTTGTGTGGAACCACACACCCACAGACAGTTACATACAGAGGCCTGTTATCATGGCCTAATGAGTTTAATGGCAAAACACATTCATGCACAC